CTTTTTCTTTCTTTTTTTTTTTTTTTTTGTCTTTTTTCGTGACCGGTAAGGGAATCGCAACCCTTGGTGACACCCGCACCGCACTCAGCCAGTGAGCGCCCCGGCCATCCCTATATAGGATCCGAACCCGCGGCGGGAGTGCTGCTGTGCTCCCAGTGCCGCACTCTCCCGAGTGCACCACGGAATCGGCCCCTATACCACTTTTGAAAGAAGTGGTGACAAAACTGACCAGGACCAAATGGAACTCACCAGAAAATGGAGTCATGGTAGTGGAGATAGAATAGAGTCCTAGTGTAAGAAGCACTGCTAGCCAGTATAGTGAGTCTGATGAACAGCATTTCTTTTTTTGTTTGTTGAGGTAGTGAAGTTATCTTCTTTAAGTGCAGAAGGTAATTTATCAGTTACTTTCTCTGGAGGTATTCAGGAAATTAGCAGCGTAAATCAGCATGGGACACAACTCTGTGGGGGAAGACATGGCAATGGCTCCAGAAAACTAACACAGGGGAAGGTTGGTGGAGGTGTGAAAATGAATGTCTCCATAGCCTCAGAAACAGTGAGGATGGAATTTGTTTAAATAAATTGCCTTAACAGAGAGCAAGATGAAGTTGTTTGATGTATAATAAGAATCTTAGATAAGTGAGCAAAGGATGGTTTTTTTGTTTGTTTGTTTTTTGTTTTGTGACCAGCCGCACCGCGCTCAGCCAGTGAGCGCACCGGCCATCCCTATATAGGATCCGAACCTGCGGCAGGAGCGATGCTGCACTCCCAGCGCCGCACTCGGGCCCAAAGGTGGTTTTTAGAGTCAAATCTTTGGGGATTTGGTGATAAAGGAAAGTATTTATTTTTCTGGAGGAAATGTATGTGTCATGTGACAACTTTCTCCAAATGTCTGTGATTGTATGCAGTTGTGTGGCAGTACTTCTAATGATTCTAGACTAAAACTTTTGCCATAGACTGTATTTTGTTCTTTGTGACACTGGAGTGACATTGGCATCCCGGCTAGGAGCAGTTATTTGTCTGTAGGAGTTTTAATATTCTATTAGCAAAAATGTACAATAGAAGAAAACGAAACTTCTAATAGATCAGGAGGATCTAGAAGTTTCTGCTGTTGACCAGGCAATAGTCTATGCAGATGACACTGGAGCACCTGTAGGACATCAAATGCCCCAGATGAACAACCTCATGGGACCTCAAGCATCCTTTTCTGTGACCCTTCAAAGGTGTGGTTCAAACAGAAGAGCACATTTTTAATCAAATGATGCTGGAGTATGAGGCTCATATATTTGTTTACAATAAAAATAACGTGTGTGTATATAATGTATGTGTGTGTATATATACATAATTTAGTAAGATTAAAATCAAACTAAATAGTGTAATATATAGAAACCAAAGTAGATCTCCGCTCTTCTTAAATATAAGCTTGATCAGGACATCCATTTTAACATCTAATAATACAAAGCTTTTGGCTAGCATCCAATTAGTACCTAATTAAAATATGGGAAGATTTTCACATTTTAAGTGTATAATGTGTATTTGTAAAGCAAAGCTAGCAGTAGAGTGGCCTAGGTGACTTGCAAACATTCCTGTACAAAACACCTAAAACGCCAGAAGGGAAGCCCCTGAGGGCAGGGGTTTTGGCAGCTTTATTTACTGCTATATCCTCAGTGTTCTGGACAGTGCCTATGCCTAGCACTGTAGGTGCTCCATAAATATTTTGAATAGAATGCTGCATCAAATATAAAATATCCTTTCAAACATATAGCTGAATCCAAGAAAGTTAGGGAAATCTTCAAGGGTTGGAATTGACTTCAGAATTAAAAATCAGAGCACTATCTGTGGCCTTTAGTTGGGTGGATTACGGGGATAGTTGCCAAAACTCAAGGAGATTTGAGTTTCAATAGCTCCAGGGGAACAGGAGACAGGGCCTTGGGGCCAACACTGGCAGGGAAAGAAATTAACAAGCAGGAAAAACATCTGCCTACTGGTCCTGCAGGGAGGGAGGCAACAAGGACATTTGTCCCCCCAGCATGGGCTCTGGTCCAGGAGGAGGAGCTACAGCTGGTCCTCTCACCAGAGCAGGCTTTTGAATTGATGTTACCTATTTGGTCCAGGAATCCTCAAGGAAAGGAATGTATGTGATGTTGCTGGCTTCTGCAAACACAGAACCAATCTGGAGGCACATTTTCAACCCAGGTCACACATGAGATCTGATAGCCACCCCTTGAAGATGGATTCACAGTGCAAAACCTCAAACACACAAGTAAAAAACATCCACCAGAAGCAAAAGTTGGCAGACACAGCAAACTGCAGTTTTGAACTCCAGGACCTTCAGGTAATATCAGGTAGACACTATAAAATAAGTGTTCAAAAAAACTATTAAAAGCAAGCAAACATGAGAAAATAGTAAGTCACTACTGTAAAAGACCATGCTTATTTAAAAAACAATGAAATTAAAACTTGCAGAAATGAAAAATTGGGTAAATTGAACTTGTAGAGAAATGCCTCTTTTCAAAGTAAGCCTGAAATACTACTTAATACATATTTTAAAAACCCTATAATGTTAATAGTTTCTAAGAACTAGCAAATCACAGAAGCGTTTAATGTTCCAGAAGTTCTTGGGTTTCTTGAAAGAAGGGTGAGTTTAAATCTCTAGTTTTCAAAATTTTATACCAAAGTTGGCGAATCCCCAGTGTCTCTAGTTTTCTCTATCTCCATTCTTCTGTAAACTCTCTCTGTTATCCTCTATGCCGAGGAAAGGGCTCTGCTCTGTTATTTTCTGCATTTCCTGTTGTAGGGTATGATCTTCACTCATGAGACAATGCAGGTAACTTCAGATTAGGACAAACAGTGTTCTCAGTAAGAAGTAACAGCTAGTCAAAGGTCATCAGAATGAACTAGGGAAATAGCACATTTTTTATTACAGAAATCCACTCTAATTCCCAGTTTTATAAATCACTTATGCTCAAGTAGCATAAACCAGTGGGTAAAATGCCATGCTTAAATTGTAATAATCCCTGAGATTTTTAGTATAACAGTGTTTCCATCTCTAAAAAATACATTTTACTTCAAAAGTAGTGACTCTGAGCCCTCTATCATTGCCATTTGGACATAAAAGGCATAAAAGATAGACTTTACCAATAAAAATAATACAGATTCCTTTACCTATTTTTTAACCTAAAGTGTAATAAGTAGGCCTTTGAATGAGTCCCCTTAGGCAACACATGCAGTTGAAACCATCGGTCTAATTGAAGGGGCTCCACCCCAGGCTCCCAGAGCACCCAGGATCAGACTACCAGGATAAAAGAGAGGCACCCTCGGGTGGACAGGAAAAACCATAATAAGAAAGCATATGAACCAATTAATTATACAACCCAGAAAGACCCCATATAACTCAGAATGAGTCCAAGATGCCCACTGTGTGATAGGTGATCATGCCCAACCCAGATGTAATCGCCAAGCTCTGGTCGCCCCTGGTGCATTTTGAAACCATCCAGAAGCTGCTGTGGTAGCAAAACCAGCTCTGGTGTTCCCTGGCTTCCTTCTCTCAGCCTGCTGTGTGGTCGTGGTGGGTGAAGTTCCAGTGACAGGCACTTGCTTCCCCACCTGGCCTCCTAGCTGAGAAGAAGGGCAGGTGGAGTTGTCCTTCACTGGGTAGCGTGGGAGCTGTGGAGCCCAGAAGCCCGGGCTCAGGTGGTGAGCCTCCCCCTGCAAGGAGTCCCAGGGCCACAGTCTCCACAGCTGCAGCCGCCGCACGTGCTCTATCACTCCCTGTGTGTCCTGGCTTGTGCGGATGTCTGTCCTGCGTTGTCACCTCAGGCAGAAGTCTCATTTCCACTAAACCCCTTCCTTTATCCCACTGATCAGCTCAGGGGCCCCCCCGTTTTACCCGAGCAGAGTGTATCGATAGAAGAGCTACAGGGTCAGCTCGCGCAGGCGGCCAGACTGCGTCAAGAGGAGACAGAGACCTTTACAGACAAGATCCGTAAGGTAAATATTCAACAGATTTCACCACGACTGCTTCTTGGGCTGAGAGCCTGTGAGGAGAATGTCAGGATGCGTTTCACAAGAACTCCGTGTGTGTACAGGTGGCTGGATTCACAGGCATGTGGCAAAGTCCCCCAGTCAAGCTGCCCCTCTCAGATGCCCCGTAAAGATAGCGGCCTGCCTTTCTGCTCTGTAGCATGCTTTTCAATATCTGCATTGGGGTCTCAGGAAGGTCTTCCTCATGTCTGATCTGAACTTTCCAGCAGCCATTCCGACTAGCACACTAATGTAAAATACAGGCCTTAAATGCAGCTGCACAGGAAAGTGCAGGTCACTTTTGTCAATGTCAGGTGAATTTTCTGATAGAAACATCAACTTAGTCAAAACAGTTATCTTCAAAAAACTGCCACTAATTGAGCTGTAGCTTGATTAACTGCTAGTTACACTCGTCCCTCGGTATCTAGGGGGATTGGTTCCAGGACCCCCTGCAGATACCAAAACCAGCAGATGCTCAAGTCCCTGACATAAATGGCTAGTATTTGCCTATAACCCACCACATCATCCCATATACTTTAAATCATCTCTAGATTGCTTCTAATACCTAATACAATGTAAATATTATGCAAATAGTTTTTAATCTGTATTGTTTAGGGCACAGTAACAAGAAAAAACGTCTATATGTGTTCAATGCGGACGCAACCATCCTTCTTTCTTTTCCCCAAGTATTTTTGATCTGCAGTTGGTTGAATCCATGGATGCGGAACCCATGGACTGTATTTTAGCATAACCTATTACTGGCTAATTGTCTTTTATCCACAGAATTCTTTCCCAGAGTTGCTAGTAGAAGGGATTTGCAGATGCAGGCACTTCTTGCCCCAGGCCCCCTGAGGACAGTCCAGTCCCTGCCACCAGGCATCTAATTAAGTTGCAAACAGGTATCTAGGTTCAGAATTGCCATCACTGATAGACCCCCCCTTATATTTGTTCTTGAAGATAGCCGGATCTTTAAAACCAAACAAAGCAGTTGACCTTGAATAGGGCACCATGGGGTTTTAAGTGCGTGATATTAAAATAAGATAAAATAAGATATTGGGTATATCCAAGACTTATTTTGGGCAAGCAGTGTGTGCTGTACATAAGTCCCCATGTTGACTGTGGCCATGTGCTCTAACTGGGTCACAAACTGATTAAGGACGTGCCTTCTGCACACTGCAGCTTAGGGAGGTCACAGCTGGAAGCAAGGGCCTAACTATTCTCTGCCGACCTCTACCACTAGATGCACACCCTGCTTAAATGTTTCATTTATAGGTCTAGTTTTACATGCCATTACCAAATGAAAATAATTTCATATTACTTGAAAGATAAATTCCTAAGTAATTAAAAAATTATTTTTGCATTACACCTAAAATTGTTTGAAATGTGAATTCATTGCTGGAGATGCTGATAACAAATGGCAGGGTTCCATGGTCTTCATACGTGGACTCACAGAAAGGAGTGTGTTAAAGAGGCTTTGGAGGTGGGGAGGTTCCCCCAGGCTTGGTCAGAGGGGAAGGGAACGTGTCCCCAGAGGGCAGAGGACTGAGCTCTGAGACTTTGTGAAGCGCTTGGAGCCATGGACCAGAAAGAAGCAGAGAAGGCAGTGGAGGGAAGTCAGAGAGCCAGCCGGGAGGGAGCATTTCCAGGAGGGCCTGCACGGTGCTGCAGATGAGGTGCTGCAGATGAAGAGACAAGAGAACACTCCTCCCCGCGTGCACACTGTGCCTTGTCGCACCTCCGCAGCAGCCCAGCAAGGGCCGCGTGGTCTCTTCACGCAGCATTTGGCTAAGGAAGCACTGCCTGCAACTCACAGAGGTCAGATTTGCAGTCGCCAGGCTGCCCCGTCCTGCTTGTCCCATCCTTGTGTCCATGGGGGAGAACCAGTGGTGGGACTCTGGGGCCACTGAGATGAGGAATAAAACTGTTGTCCTGTTATTTCAGCCTGAAGTCCAGACAGATTAGGTATCATGACAGCGGCCATGCAAGGTGTTGCTCAGATCCGCAGGCCTCTCCAGAGCCGCTCCTTTCACTGGCCTTTAGCAAGAACATCGGCCGTGTTGGTATTGCCCTCAGGCAGCCATGGTCTTATTGTTATGGTTTCTGAGAATTAATCTAGTTCTTTAGGGGTAAAAAAATTGCTGCCTTGGCTTTTGGCATATGAGGGAGCGTTAAATTAGGAGAGTTCAGTTGGAATCGGTGAGGCTGGCATTCTGACCCTTTTTTTGTTCTATGGAAGACAGAGCTTTGATCCCATATATCACATTAGCTACTGTAGGTTTTATTCTTGTGCCCTTATCTGCCAAATAAGATCTTATCCACACTCTTTTTCTTAGTTAGTATTGATGATAATTGTTGCTTGGAATAGTGCCTATATGAGTGTTTAAATAACAGAAACATAATGTCAAGAGGGAAGACATTTCTTTTTCAGCAACACTTTTATTTCCCTAAAAGATACACATATCTAATAGGAATGTTTTGAGTCTTGAGGGTGGAAATGGGTTATCAAACTTACCTACCATTGTGTGCAGCCAAGTCCTGCACATCAGAAAAGAATTCCTTCTGCCCGACTGCTCACTCTCCATCAGCTTGGGGTCCACTTCCAATCAGGGGATGGGGGACACTAGGGGATTCAGGAAGTAAAGGGGAAGGATTTCCACTTATTTTTTCTTTACAGTTGTCATGTGCCAAGTCCATGTACAGGGGGAAATGGAATTTACTTAAATGAAATTCAAATCAGCTGTAAACCATACATCCAAGAAACAATTTTCCTGAAGTTTAGAGACATCTCAAAACACCATGACAGTCTTAACCATGAAAAGTTATTATATAATACCTCACTTTGAAATAGTACTTGCTTTTAAAGCACAAAACTCGTGAGGTTTTGTAAATAGTAAACATCTCAAGTTGTTAATCAAACTAAACTGGGGGTCTTCTGTGTTTCACATCCCACATGCAATGTGCTATAAACTGAGTGGCATTTTGCAGAGACTCAGTTTGTTTTGGGTGGCAAATTTGGATTGCTGCTTGTCACACTTTCTCTTTTATCCCGCTTAAGATGGAGGAGGAGCACCTCTATGCCTTGAGGTGGAAAGAACTAGAAATGCACAGCCTGGCTTTGCAAAACACCCTCCATGAGCGAACCTGGAGTGATGAGAAGAATCTGATGCAGCAGGAGCTCCGGTCCTTGAAGCAGAACATCTTCCTCTTCTACGTCAAACTCAGGTGGCTGCTGAAACACTGGCGGCAAGGGAAGCAGATGGAGGAGGAAGGAGAGGATTTCACTGAGGTACATACACGTTTCATTTGCGTCCGTTTTGCTCTTGATGTTCAGACACTGCTTCCCCCCCAATCCTGAACACAGTCATGTTCTATTATTTTAGATTATTTCATCAGTTTCAGTCCAAGCAATGGAAATGTAATGGCTTGCCCAGTTACATACAAAACCAAGAGTTCCTTGTCCCTTGACCTTGAAGAGTATCCTGGTCTGCAGCTCCAATCTGCAGCAAAGCTTTGCTGCCATCTCTTTTGTTGCTGATTTACTGGTTCATTAAAGTGATCATACTGAGGTCCTTTACCATCTCATTCAGCCTTGCTGGCTTGTAAAATCTGCTTCGAAAATCTTTGCTCTTCCTTCCATTTTAGTTTGTGATCCTAGATGCTGGAGCCCGTTCTCCTCATACAGTCCTAGAAGGGTCTCTCCTAAGTTTTGGATGGGTCACTTTGCCACCTCTGAAACTTACATATGTTCTTCCTCTTATGTCTCAATTCCCAGATTCATAACCAAGATAGAATTATTTGCTTTCTGATTGGCTTTTATTGATTAAGTCAGAGTGACCTCTAGCTTTGCAGCCTCCTTCCTGGCCTTGCTTTCTGAGGATCATAGGGCTGGAGCCACTCGTGTACAGCACACCCCTGGCTACCTGGTCAGCTGCTTCAAGGCATTGTGAATAGTTGATTTTCTTTTAGCCCTCAAAGACCTCTTGTCTGCTTTTCACTCTAGTGAACTGTGTATGTAATTTTAAGTCATCCTATGAATAGGAAGATATGGTGATTCTCTTTCCTCAAAGTAAAGAAAGTCTTCAAAAATTCATTCAACCAGCTTCCAACTATCCATGACATAGAAAACCATTGTTAGGCAAAGCCAAGAAATAGTTAAAAAGTTTCCTGTTGATCAATACTCTGGTGTTCCTCCACCTCCAATTTATAAATCCACAGTAAGCAATACTAGTTCATTCATAGTAAAATTTCTCACTAATCCATTTTAATTGATTGAGCATCTACCCTTTGCTAATTAAATGGAGCAAGTACCAGTGAGTGAAGTGGCAGAATGAGCATATTAGAGGAAAGGACTGAGAGGTAAAGGACTTGATAATCCACAGAGCAGGTAGTTATCCTCAAACAATAAATATCAGGCTGTGCAGCAAAATGATTTGGTGAAGCTGTGACCTTCATCTCCTGCTGGTTTCAGGCTGAGCATCCAGAGACCGCCCCTGGGCTTGGTGAGCTTGGGGTCCAGGGGGGCTACCAGGTGGACGGACCAGACCAAAATGATGGTGATCGAGGCTGTGGCTTTCTGATGGGGGAGCATTCCCCACACTCCCTGGTGCAGGTCGGCGACCACGGCTCACGACTGCAGACTGTGGACGGGGGACAGCTCCACAAGCAGGTGGGTGCCTAGATCCAAGCCCGTTCTACCCACACCTGGGAGAGGAGACTCCCGATCCACCTTTATGTCATCTCTCAAGTGCAGGTGGTCCAGGTAGCAGAAAACCCTTCTGCCTAACTAGGGGCACCTGTTACTGTTTATGATGCTGGATTTTTGCTAGAAATCCCATCATTAGGCTTTTCATTTCACTGTCAGCCCATTAATTCATTTGTCTTGGCCATTTAAGTAAGGACCATAGTGGGATCAGATCAATTGAGTGTGTCCCCTCGGAGCCAGTGAGTTTACCTCAGAAGGAAAAAGGAAAGTATCCTGTAGACTCATCTGTGGTCTTTTAAAGGTTGACCATTGGTCCAAGGAAGATGGAGTACTGAGTGCAGTGCTCTCATCAGGGCTAGGAAAAGAACTTTGGGGCTTTTTTGTGATGTTTAGCCAAATAGCCATAGGCAACATCAGTAGTTTGACCACATGATATATAAGGAGAAAAGAACAAGTATTTTTGTAAATCCCCAAACACATATAAAGTATTTTATGTTCTCTTTGGCCCACTTGGAACATAATGCCTCAAATAAAAATATTGGATGACACTTTGAAAAAATGAAAGCATATATGAAGAGAGGTGGGATTTCACTGTGATTAAGTAATTATTAGTGTTGCCATATACCACAGAAATAGACCCTGCTTGATAAACCAAAATATACTACTGATAGCATCCAACTTTTTTGCATTTTTATACAAATTGGCAGCTACCGTGGATTTTGGAGTACTGAGGTCCTGAGAGGGACCCTGTATAAAATCTTTCCCTCTCCTAGCTTTCTGCATCCCTTCTAACCCTACTCCGCTTCTCGGAGGCCTCCGGCTGGATGCCTGTGCTCTGGGGAGAGGGCACAGGGCTGGGTGGACACAGGCACAGCAGTACTCTGGGCGCGGTGCCAGCCTCTCAGTCATAGACACTTGTGGGCACTCCCTGTGTGCTGGACACTGCAGCTGCCAGCTTGCCTCAGCCCAGCCCCACAAGTGGGAGAGGCTGTCATCAGAGCTTTGGCTCAGATCCAGGTGAGAGAAGTGGCAATATTCTGAGCGCGGCTGAGGGGAGATGTGGGTCCTCTGCCAGCTGCTTTCTCTATATATATGAATCAGATTTTCACATCTAAGCAGCTGTTTTCTACATACATCCATCCATCCTTCATTTTCCCTGAATGGTATGTCTCAAGAAGGAGATTATACTTCCAAAGGAACTCTTCCTCACAGTCATTAGGAAGTGTGTCATTAGGCTATTGTCCATGGGGAGATTTTAAGTCATGGAATGAGTTTTCCAGCAATGATCTAGTTAGAAACTAAAATGTTCCTTTGCCAATAATACTTTAAAATCTACAAGTTAGTAAACTTATAATATTATATTATAATAAATTATATATATTATTTTTAAAAGAGATGATGTAAATCAATCCTATAAACTATCCATGATTAAGTAAAATAGTATTCCTTGATTGCCATTTAGACATAAACATGCTGTATCTAAGACCACGTGTTGGGTGTTTCCTATGTGTGCATCCAAGAGCTTTGGAAAAGGAAAAAAATGTAATACATCTGGTTTTCTAAACAACAGTCATGGAAAATACTACCCTTGGGGTGGAATTAATGTGAAGTCCCTCAGCTGCAGCCTCACATTCAGCGTATTCTAATGTCATTTTCCTTTGCCTCTCAGTCCTTCCAACACTAATTTTTAGCAATTCCCCTTAAAAGTGGAGATGGCTTTGTAAATTTCCACTCCATCCAGTGAGTGGTAAAAGCACATGGGGGGAACAGGGTAGGGTCCAGACAGACAGAACCGGGTCAGCCTTTCACTGCACCTGTGTGTCCACAGGAGTTAAGGTGGAGCTCTGTATGCACAATGTCATCCGTCCGAGGACAGATTAATGAGCTCTACTGTAAGTGACAGCTGGCTCACTGAGTAGACATTCTCCATTAGATTCTCCTCGCCTTTAGTGGTGTGGGTATTAGCAAGGCAGCCTGGCTGCAAAAGCCAGGGCATGTGTCTTCCATGAGCTCTACTGTAAGTGACAGCTGGCTCACTGAGTAGACATTCTCCATTAGATTCTCCTCTCCTTTAGTGGTGTGGGTATTAGCAAGGCAGCCTGGCTGCAAAAGCCAGGGCATGTGTCTTCCAGAGCTGGTGCTCAGAGCCAGGGCCTTGCCAGAAACCCTGAGAACCTCACCAGCTGATAAGCAGCAGCAAAATGTGGCCAGACTGCTTTCCAAAGGATAAATTCTCAAGCAAAGTGTCTCAGGCCTTGGTCTTTGTTTTGTGTCGTATTAGACATTCTCACAGTTAAACACAATAGATGGCAACATGTGTCATGTCCAAAGAGGTAAAAAAAAAAAAAAAAAAAATGTACCAACTAACCTTGGGGATAGTTCATAAAAACTCTTCAGGTTGGCAAACGTTTGGCTCTGCCCCATTCCCTGTCTCCTGATTGTTAGTTATGTGACCTGGTGACAGCGACCTGGCTGTTCTTGAGCGTGGCCTGCGCTTGTATTCTGCCCAGCTGGCTGGTGAGTTGCCTGCTTCTCCTGCAGCTTCAAGACACTCAGTGCCATGTGAGCATTTGAGGCCAGCATTCCTAAGGCTGCTTATGTATTTTATACTTATTAGTAATTCCCGACATCAGGGTTTTTTTAATACTAGTGATTAACGGTGCCGAAATTATGACCCTGTGGTCGAGGCCAGCATTCCTAAGGCTGCTTATGTATTTTATACTTATTAGTAATTCCCGACATCAGGTTTTTTTTTTAATACTAGTGATTAACGGTGCCGAAATTATGACCCTGTGGTCCCATTACCTAGTCTTCCTGGCATTCAATTAATTACTACAAGAGAAGGTACTTCTTCATTCAGGGATGTGACCTAATACTCTTCATTAAAACAATTGAGTATAAGTGTGAAGACCCTCTTAGAAAATTCATAGCAAGGGCTAAAGGACATGTCATATTTGTCTTTGTCTTCACCTGCTGCCAGTCACTGAGGAGTCTCAGGACTGAATATAATCTACTCCCCTAGACCCTTGTCCCTTGTCTAGGGTTCATCGATAGCATTAGGGGCTTCAAGGGCTGCCCTACAAGTCAGCCTTTCTTCTCTACAGAGCCTTTGGCTCCCTGGACTTTCTGGGCTTGGACTCACCCAGGGGATAGCAGTCTTGCTTTCTGGCTTTCCAGGCTGCCCACCTTTCTGCTTTGCCCAAGATGAAAAAACTTCTAGAAAGAACACCTTGGCCAGATGAGGCTTGCACATCAAAGCTGAAAAAAAGCCACTTGGCTTTTTGTGTTGTTTTCTATAACAAGAAAGCTCTTCTCCTGAGCCTGCAGAGCTTGGACATTTTAGCTGTGTGTCGTACCATGGCTTGGTTTGGCAGCTTTATAGCCTCAACTGAGACACTCTACTCTTAATATAAAAGGAACCAGACCAGAGCTTCTGACTGTGAAACATTTTGTCTCTGCTGCGTTTTTGTTGTTGTTGTTTGGGTTACTCTGAAAATAGCAAATGTGTGAGGTAAAAACTCACGTGCATCAGAGGGTGTTTAATGAAGGGACTCTCCACACCCCAGCCTGCCTCCCAGAGTTAACCACAGCCGTTCTCCACGTCCCTTCCAGAGTGCATAAAGCAGCTGTCAGCCCCGCTGATGAGTGACTGCTTCCTGAATGGCCGCCTGATTTCATTGGACCTGCCCTGGTTTCTTAAGCCTTTGGGCTGATAACTCTGTTTATAACTTATTAAATACATGCCTCATTAATTCTTTCACACAATTGTATTTGTTCTTGGAAAGCTCTTAGTGAAAATAATGGAGATGGAAGGCACAAAGCCTTCCTGGACAGACCAACTGACGCACTCTCAGCCAGAGGGCAAATGACTTCTGTGTGTAAGTGAATCTGTCATTCCCATAAACATCCATCATAGATTATATTTTCAGGGCCAGACTTCAATGGCACATTCTCTTTTATCTGTAGGGATGGTAATGGTTATAGAAAAGAATCTTAAAATTAATCTGAATGTAACAATGAAGAATGACAGATGGCTTATAAAAATGTTGCTGGATGTGTGAATGTATCATTTCTGGCTGATCTCACAGTAACGCACTTGTCTCGGGACTCCTGCTGATAGTGGAGCTACTTTCATTAAATGCTGCAGGAGGCCCCTCCTATGTGTATCAAACAGGAACTGTGCCTGCATGTGTTGGGGGTCAGGAGCCCCTGCTAGAGCATTCTGGAATTCCCTGCCTATGTCAAACAGCCTGAATAAATAGGAGGTGGAAGGCATCACCTCTATTTTGAGGCTGGCTTTCTGTAAGTCATCCTATAGCAGCAGGTCTATATATCTGTTCCAGCTTTAGATTAGATTAAACCTGTCTCCAAAGTTAATGGCTCTGATGCAAGCCAAGTAGTTGATGGTCGTTTAGCTCTTTCACAGAGTTGTGATTTCACCTGATGCACATGTCTTAGAAATATTTTTAGGCAAGAATGATTTTGAAAAATAGCTGACATCACATTACAAATATCTTGATATATTTTCCATAAACTTCCTCTTAATTTTCTGTTAATACTATTTAGTGTATACTTGGATAGCAGTCTGATTGGCTGAAGGATCATCTTGAACCTGTTTTAAAGTTTGACACTTTATAGCACAAAAAAGCTCCAGATCTCAATTTCAGAAGGGCTGACATGCCAATAGACTGAGGAGAAGAAAACAGTGGAGCAGTTTTTATCCTGCATCTTTGCTAGAAAACCAACCAGCTCATCTCTCAAGAAATTGATAAGTTGGGTTTTTGAGTTGAAACTGACCTATGCTTAACAAATGTACAAGCTAAAATGTTGTATAGCTGGGCTTCTGGCATGAAAAGTTCAGAAAGCTTTGTATCCAAGAAGACTTGTAGCGTAAAGACCTCTAAATGGACCAGAATCTTAATTTCATTCTTGATTTGGGTCATCTTTTTACCCAGAACATAGCCCAGCAAGGGCCACCGCCAGGAGAAAAAGTGAGAAAAGTAACTTTTAGGCATTCTTTCAGGATGGCTTACTAACCTTGATAAAGGAGACAAAATTAGTTTCAAAGAGATTAAATGGTTTCTCAAAGGCAAGGTTTTAAAAAAAAAGCCTCAGCAGGGTACAATGTCAGAATTCAAATATTCCTGGCTTGGTTTGTCTGGCCCGAGAGGGGGACAGACCTGGATTGCAGTCTGGGCTCTCACTTCCTTAATGGCAGTACCCCAACAGCCCCTCAGCTGCTCCAAGCTGTAGTCCTCCTCTGGGAAATGGGGAACCCAGGACTGACGTGGAATACAAACGGTCATGTAGATGAGTAATTTAGTACACCCCTGGCCCACAGGAAACAATTAATATTGGTTATTATTGTTTCTATTTTTTTGCATATGTACAAAAGTCATATAGAAGAATCATGTCAATCTATGGCTCATTCTGGGTCTTTAGAAATTCTGACACAGACATTCATTCTGGTGGTTGTGCCCTAATGGCAGAAGTTGCTCTGGCTTCCTGCCACACACACAGTGCTCCTGGGTGATTCTGACAACTGGTACCAGTAGCACTGGCTGTCTGGATTCTCTTGCTCCCACTGGCCACCTTCATCCCAAAGCAGTTTTGGAGCTCATTTCATGATTAATACTATCCTGGTATAGCAGAGTATCATGTTGATTACTGTGACCCAAATGTGCATAAAAACATTAAGGCTTAATTTTATTGAATCTGATATCTGCTAATGCCTAAAAGTACTTGCTTCCAGAGAAACCAAATTTTCAATTTGCAAAGAGACTCTAAATTAGAATTCTGATTCTAATATTATTAGCAGTTGTGTGGTATATGGGCTAAAAGCAGCACAGGATTCAGAGATAGCTGTTGATCACACATAGAATGCATTACGCGGTTTTCTGCTTTCTCTTCAGTGAAAATTAATTGAGTATTCCAAAGACTGGGCAAAAAGTATTACTGTTATTTTATGCTTGAAATACTCTTGACTCAAAAGTGGTGATTTTTCTTCACTTAAAATCCAAAGGTGAAAATACCAAATATATTACCATAAAATTTCTCAGCAAACATATTCTGTATGAAGATGTGTGTTTCTAAAAGAGTATGTGGCACCTCCTCTCGCTCAGCTGCACTTATATAGTTTTTAGATACTTCTGCATTTGCTGCAGCTTCACACATTTCACGGGCATCTCCTTGAGTATAGTGGTGAAGAATGTGTAAGATTTGTAGACAATAGGTTATCTGCTGAGTTTTTAAAATGTTAGTGGAATTGTACCCTTAATACCTTTTGTCCCAGTGTTATTAAAATAAAAATTGGTATTCAAGGTGAGAGAAATCAAAGAGCTATAATAAATGCTAACAAATAGGACTTTCTACTCCATCAAAAGTCTACTGTATCTAATATTATAACATTTAAATTATGGGGATAACTATGGTGTTTAACAAATCTGCTCGTGTTAAAGACTCTTTTCTTTTCTAATCCAACTTTATTTAAATCCAAACATATACCCACAGTATCCTAGATTCTTCCCGTATGCATAAACATACCATTCGTGCATGTCAGTGGGTTGACTAGGTGGTTTCAGAAGCGTGACTGAGTGAAGACTGATTGCATGGAACCTGAGCCGAGGCCCAGTGTGGTCACTGAGCCAGGCAGGAGACGTTTGCCAAGTGTGGGGGCTTTGTCTTCCCATAGGAGAGTTTATCTGCATCCAGCATGGCTTAGAGAGCCTTTATTCCTCCTGCTTCGTTGATGCACAACAGGCATGCCCTGAGATCCATTTACCTAGGTCCATAATTGATCCAGTGTGTGTCATTCATCTGGACAAATCTTTCTGATATTATTCCCTTGTTGAAACATACTAAGATAGAAATCATGGTTTTGAAATTTGCCTTCAAAGGGCTGGGCAAGTTTTAGAAAATATAAAATCTTTTAAGTATAAGCGGATTAGTAATAAAAGTCCATTCTTCATTTGCCAGACATGTTGTGTGCTTACCACGAGCCAAGGATTGTGCCAGACATGGAAATGTGAGGTCGGGTCAGGCTTGTCTGTCCCTGGATACTTATAGTGTGGGGGCGGAGGCAGAGAGGGTGGACAGGCACAAGATAAATGAGCAGGGGCAGTAGTTTTTCATGAGATCAGCAAACCATGTGCACAGTACCAAAAGGCAGGAGGGTGGGGTAAGTAAGTCCATCTCAGTGCACCACAACCAAGCCTTCATGAACAGATGAAGCATTGCACCTTTGGCTTTAATTATTAAACATCAAAAGTCCCCCACCCCCAATAGCCATGCTTGTTATATACATGACCTCTTAGTAACTACAAGTTGGAGTATGAGTATCCTGTTTGTAAGAGTCACCTGGCTCTTAGTAATTCCCTTCTAGTTCAATAGCTGGTGCTAGAATGACAGCACAAGCGTAGGTAAGCATGTGTATCTTGTCACATCTGCACCCCATAACAGCCTGGTCAGCCAGACTCAGAGCTCTGGACACCTGAAGTCACCCCAAGTGTCCTGGCAGCTCTGGCTTCAGGCTGACTGGCCTTCTGCGGCGTCCTTGCTTTGGCTCACCAGGGCCCAGAGTAGTTCTGCCCCTGGTTCCCCAGTGCCAGCCCAAGGTCTGGCCTCCTAACGCAGCTGCACTGGCTCCAGGGCAGCCTTCCTCCTGATCAGACAGGCCCTCAGTCTCAGCCCCAGGAGACTAAGGGCCAGAAATGGGGAACCTCTCGCTCTCTCCCCCTAACTGCAGACCCCAACCTGCCCTGTCCCCACTGCCATTGGCACCTGAGAAACAGCATGGCACCACCTTGATGGCCAGACCCTCCTCTTCCAACCCAAAGAATATCCGAAAAGGCGGTGGCAGTGCCTGACTCAGTGTTCCTGCAGGTGGCGGAAAACCAGCAGCTGTTCGCTGCCCTCAGGGCCCTGCTGGAGAACCTGCACACGGAGCTGCGGGAAGACCAGCTGGCCCGGCGGCGGCTGCAGCAGCAGTATGCCAGCGACAAGGCCACCTGGGATGTGGAATGGGCCATGCTCAAGTGCCGCCTGGAACAGGTACCTGCCCCACGGACTCTCTACACCCAGGATAGGTGGGGAGCAGTGCACTTAGATCCAGATCCACGGTGCCCTGGTCCAGGAGAAAGGAGGGGGCGGCCCCTTGTGTCTCTTCTTAAAGCGCCCAACCTCTCCACAGCCCCTTGTATTTCTTGTCCTGAGTCTGAATCACGCCTCCACCAGGCAGCAATTTTACATTCCCATTCCTCATTTTAAGTGAGGTTGTACTGAGCCCCATGTGAGAATGGCCAGTGTGAGGTTCCCATCTTACTTGTCTGACATAGTTCTAGAAGGAAGCAGAGCAGATGCAGCTGTGGTCCAGTGATGTCTGAAAAAGGTAAACGCAGCTTTTCTCTGGATTTTCCAAAATATTGAAAAGAACTTGTCGACCCTCCACCGCATGCCCTAGAAGTCCAATCAATTTCAGTCTACTTATTTACAGCAAAGGAGACCGAGGCCCAGAAGCAGCTTGCTGGTCTCAGATCCCAGAGCCACTTAGGCCAGAGTGGGAGGAGGACCCGGGGTTCCTACTCACCCCCCCACAGCCCCCCACAGCAGTACAGATCTGATGTAGCCAGAGCACCCTTTTCTAAGCGTTTTTCCTCAG